CATCGCCCAGGTACCAAGTTTAATTCTCGGCGCGACACTGTGAGCTGTGTGTTGTATTTGCAATTTGTTTTTCTGTTGTGCCATCGGCGTCTTGTTGATTGCACTAAAATAGCGGGCGGCCGATTACATTCAGAATGGTGTGTACTTTTGAGGTTACAATGCGGGTACCATGCCGGCTTTTACGATTGACTGTTCGCGTCAATAGTGTGAGCTGAAGTTCTGGTTAGTACTGACACATTTGCCATTTGCTTGATGCATTTGTTTACTTTTTCGTGTGCAAGTTCGAGAATTTGATAGGACTGACAAGATTTCCACTAGTTTTCACATGGGACAGTGAAGGACATTTTGTGTGATTTCCGTTTTCACAGGAAGGGAGCAGTTAGGCGCCGACCCGTGCTCATTAATACTGAAAGCTCTACGAACTACTAACTAGCATATACATATACATTATATTTGAGCGTGTGTTTGAAATGCTTCCGATCTGTTTATTTCCAGATGAGGTTACAAGTAACACGTCACCAGCCCTAGTCACCAGCACTCGTCACCAGCCCATATCATCAACCCTCGTCACCAGCACAACAAGTACTACTACAACACCTTCACCTGCAGATAGTGGTAATGACAAGTTAAACTTATTAATTTTTGATAGTTAAGGATCCTCTTTTCCGCCTTCAGGCGTATTGGGCTTATAGGACTAGACCTATAATTTTTGACCTACTGGTACTCGGCGGGTGATGTGGTAAGCAGCCCGCCGGCGGCTTTTACTTCTCGAGACTTTACCTGGTACCCTGTTCAGGCTGGGTCGACCAGGGATATAAGGTCCTTTTTCAGAAAAGTCCGGCTTCATCAGGAGCCGAACCCACGAGCTTCGGATCCGCAGGCCAGTGCCTAGTTGCTACCCCACAGTGGCTTTCTTTTTTAAGATGAACAGTTAAGATGTCTGAGTAAAAATTGTCCTTAATGCGAACGAGTTCGCTTAAGAAGAGCATTCAGTTAACATAAACATACGGGCAGGGATGTATTATTTCTAGTCCACAGTTGGCACGCATCTTCTAACACGAACTTTTGGTTTTTCGTTCCCTTAAAATTCGTATTTACCAAATTGGTAATGTATTTTTGTGAAAATCAGAAACGGGTTTGAAATAAAGGTTTATTGATGAGTGGACCGACTTTATTGTACCGGGATTTGTACTATACGACTCGGTATTTGTCTACAGAATAGCTAACCACACATCGAAAGTCTCACACAAAGCATGACCTTTGTAGTTCAAGAAACGATCACTTAACAATTGCCCTCGGATGTAAACGGCTTAAATATGTAATCGCGCAGACCCCCAGGATTTCTATCAGCCATATCCTTGTGGCTTAGAGATTAGCGAATGCGGTTAACAATTTCATGATCTCCGAGTGCTGTAGTTCGTTGCACGCAGTGGACGGTTTAAAAAATCGTTTTAGTGGTTTTCAAACAATGGTACGAGAACCGCACCGTGGAAAAGATTTGGGCCTCATCAGGTAAAAATTATCAAAGACAACAGCCATACATTGTTGCCGACCTCTATTGTGGAGATGGTACAGAACTTATTTTTCTGTTTGGGCTCCGGAGCCTCTATGAAAGAGTGTTTTTTTTTTTAAAGCGAGCATGTGGTGGTAGGTTACCACCACATGCTCGCTTTAAAGCTCCAGAAGTCCAAACTAAATTGGTAGGCGAGGAAACCAAACAGTCCGACCCAATCGCTCTTATGAACTCATCACTAAAGACCGTTGATTCTTACCCCCAAGAATGGATACATGTCTATACTGATGGATCAGCATTTAAAGCTACCATTAAAGCAGGTTACGGAATCTACATAGGTTATCCCGATGGATCTGTTGAAGAGATTTTTGATGCATGCGGGGAATTCTGTTCAAACTATGAAGCTGAAATAATTGCACTGGAAAACAGCAGTATACCACCTAAAGACTGTAATGGATGTTTACACCCTCAAAGGTCCAAAATATTGTCATCTTCACAGACTCAATGTCTGCCCTTCAAGCTCTGGAGGGCAATGAACGCTGCAGAACTGACATAGCCAAGATAATCCTGGATGCCGATCAGCTTATTACCTCATACAACATCAGAATAGTGATGCAGTGGATTCCAGGTCACTCCGGCACACCAGGTAATGACAGAGCTGACAGATTGGCAAAGAAAGGAGCAACACAAGAACAACCACCTACAGCGACAACCCTCCAGACAGCAAAAACACTGATAAGAGCTATAAACAAAGAGACTTGGTTGAACAGATGGGCCATGGGAGACACTGGAAGAGAGGTTTATAGACATATGTCTGGCCCTGATCCTAAGGACAGCATTAACCATCTAACAAGAAGGGACCAGGCCGGAACCAATCTTCAGACTTAGAACGCAACATACTCCACTCAATGGACACCTAAACAGAATACAGCCACAACACTCCCCAGAGTGCCAGCTATGTAACTACCCCTACGAAACTGTTGAACACCATCTCTTTGAGTGCCCAAAACTCAGTGAGACAAGAAGAACGCTACTCCCTCCGAGACCAGACAAGTGGAACACCTTGTACGGAGGAAAAGAACAGCTTGTGAAAACATGCAAATTCCACTACATGGCATTGGGCCAAAGGGCGAAAGCTCATGCGCCGCTGGATCGATAACAACAACAACAACTATGAAAGAGTGTTGAGTGGGTAGGGGTTAAAAGAATATGCCTCCCAAAAGCGTGTCATAAAGCAAAAGGACCCCTTACCACACCTTTAGGCGTTTTGGGCATTCCACCGACCGCCTTTCCCTCCCAGGACTGTACCAGGTACCCACTCAGGGCTGGGTCACCTGTGAGCCAAAGTCATTTTAAAAAAATACCTCTGCACCCGAATCAACGATCTTCAAGGGAAAGCATGTTGTGAGCGTGGTGACAGGTATTATTTTGTTATAATCAAATGTGTTAGACTGAAATGTGCAGCTATCGCGACCTAGATGAAAACTCCCAAACGAACCCCCCCCCCCCTGGGCACCCCTCCCCCACCTTACTATGTATAGAAGCCCTCTTTTCAAGTGAATATTTACACATTTAATGTATTTTTATTATTACACATTTAAAAAAGGCTTAGGCCCAATGAACAGCCACCGAGGGCTTTTCGTGCGCCATCTCATGTTTTATGCTGAACTGAAATCAATCGCGCAGTCAGATGAGAAACTTAGGCGTGGCAACCTGCTGATAGACACAGTGAGTGCTGTTTATAGCACAAGTAATTAGTAACTAGTAACCGTGGAGCGGCCGCCCCAAAGGTTATGAACGCAAGGTTCTTGTTCAAATCCCCGGCAGGGTTAGGACATTTGCTTTGAATTTCAGTTGAATTTATTCAGTTTTGTGCTTTATTTTATGTTGATGTAACTCTGTAGTAACGCACCTGATGAGATACAGCGAAATATGCCCGGCAATAAATTGTGCAATGTATTGTTTATATCCGCATTATTTAAATTTGTTTCTGTCGGGAGTAAACATAAAGTTCAAAGCTGCACATTTCATGGCGACAGACTATCCACGCGGCCCTTAAAAAGACACCAAAAAGACCCGAAAAGACCCCATTCACCCCCCCTCACCCCCAACAAAAGTAGCTAATACAGGCATATATTGCAGTGGTATTTTTTAAAGGACTAACAGTATATCCCTCCGGACAGATCCATACAGGCCCTGATCCCATCCTCCTCAGTTGCTGCACAAGCCTAACTCGGCTGGTCGCATTCTTGATGAACGTCTCAAAAAGGCGAATAATACATTAGATTACGTCATGATAATGAGAAAACTGGAGGGTGAGAGAGGCAGAGGTAGACCATCTGTTTCAGACAGGATTGGCAGTACACGAGGATGTGGAAAATATATAAGTACTAATGTTATGTGGTATGAATTATAAAAAGTAGTAGAAGAATTCGAACAAACTACACCTTCTCCGTCGGCTCTGTGGCTAAGTCGATGCGAACGCTTCGTAATGCCGGGATGCCAGGTTCGATCCCAGCTGCGGGCCATGCGCCTTGCTTTGGTTTCGACAGTGGTATCAAGAAAGCCGACCGTCCAGTGCGATGGCAAACTACTGGACGTAAATTTGCCTAGAAAAACCATACAACGTCCTGTTAAGGATACGCAACTAATCTTAACACCTTCTCCAGTCGGCGTCCGTGGCTTAGGCATTGCGAACGCACTTCGTAATGCCGGCGTGTCGGGTTCGATCCTAACTTCTGGCCCTTCGCCTTGTGTTGGTTTCGACAAGCCGACCGTCCAGGAAGCAATGGCAAAATACTTGACGTAAATTTGCCTATAAAACCACAACAGCTAAAAAAGATGCTGTGATTGTTTCTGCAAAGTTCTGTAAAGGGTAGGCAACTAACTAAAACACCTTCCCAAGACTTACAACTGCAACAAATAATCCAAAACAACTAGTAAATACATAAAAGTAACTTCAATGATAGATTCAAAAAGTTCTCGGAACTGTTGCATAGCGTGTAAATAGATGCCTATGGACAATAATTATACGTACATAGATTGGATTTGGTGTTTTATGTAGAATTTGTTTTATAAGCCTACGTTAGTAATACCAAAACGGTGCGCCGCGGCGCTCCAGGAAGCCGCGACATCTTCACAGGAGCGCCACGAAATATTCGAAGATACCCAAGATCAATTTTGTTTTCTCACATACGAATAGTCATACTTTTACTTAGGTTAAAATTTTAATTGTAAAAATCGCCGCGACTAAGAAAAGTTTTGGAAACACTGAATTATGTGATTGAAAATAGTTTTAACAAAATGTAGATTTCACTTAAGACCAGCTAGACTTGCGACCTGTTAGTTGGAACTGAGCTTGGAAAGCTTGTACTTCATATTAACAGCTCATCCTTTGTATGATCTTCAGCGGCGATCGAGTGTCCCGTGTGTTCAAATGACTACGACCATACTACGTGTTTAGGGGTCCAAAAATGCCCTGGCGCTGATGCAGTAAGTACACGTATAAAGTTTAATTTAATCAGCTCTTTCAGTATCAAAAGGAAAATTATTTCAATTCTTCCTGTCCTAAGAATGTTTTAAAACAACAAGAGCATAAGCTGACAAAAGTAAACTATTGTGTGTTTTAATAGTCATGAACTCAAACTTTCAGAAATATCTCAAAAGGCTGAGGATTTGTTTCTGTCGGAAGCGCGCGCGCACACACACACACACCACCCCATCCCACCCCACCCCACACCACACCACACACACACCACACACACACCACACACAAACCACACACACACACCACACACACACAACACACACAACACACACACAACACACACACAACACACACACAACACACACACAACACACACACAACACACACAACACAACACACACACACAATCCTCACCTGCACAGTCGTTGCGAAAGCACTAGCCATGAGGCTGTAAATCCTTAGGCTCAAAGACCCCCTCCCCCCTCCTTTTTCCCCGCCCCTTGTCTACACAGCAAATGTGGTATAATCAAGACAGTAATTGGCGTACATAAAATGTCATCTGTCTATTTTGTTTTTTATGTCTAAACCGGTAGCCGGTCCGATAAACTTGTCTGCTATTTTCTTATGCCGAAAGCTTTAAAAAAAAATGAAATGGTTTGGCCATCTAATGAGAATGAAACCAACGATATCAGCAGCAAGATTCGTACAACCTGAAAAATCAAACTCAAGAGTTCATGGGAAGACCGAGAAGAAGATGGATTGAAATTAGTCACTGGCGCACTTGAGATTGCCGATACATTACAAGCATAATCAAGCGACTGAGAGCGAGCCCTGGCTCGGCTGTCGATCGTCTGATGAACTGCGACGCCTAGCGGCATAAGCAGATATTGAACAAAAGAAGAATCAAGAAGAAAAACATACGTTTTAATAAGTTAATCGAACTTTCACATTTTCATTTCAAGGTGTGCCAGTTGGTTATTTCACAACTGGTGGTCAGCTACGGTTGGAATACCATTTGCGAACAATTTTGAGGTAACAATTTTTTTGTTTACAACTTTTAGTACGTTTATAAATAATATTTAAATTCTCTGCTGTGTGCAACATTAACAATGAAACAATTACACACCCTTATAAAATTCTTTAGTGTAAGGGAGAAGTTGGACACAAACGAACGTAAGGCAGAAAGTAATACACATGGGAAGATAACTGCAAGACAGCAGTTTTATATCTTTTACAAGGATAATAACGACAGAGGTTATTGGAGACTGCAGCTAGTCTACAGTGCATAGACGACGCCTTATTGACAAACAATTTTTTCCACACTTCTGCAAGTGCTACATTCATGCTCTGTGCAGAGTGGCAAGCATCACTTCAGAGGTTACGGAGAGTTATCATCCTTGGATTTTCTCCAGGTGATGCTGGAGTGCGGGGAAATGAGCAGGCAGATAGACTAGCCGGTTCTGTCCAATGTGGTGGTAAATTGATATATGACAAACATAATTTTGTGACGGCCCTTTGGGAGCGGGTGAACAATGCAGAGGCACATACAGAACATGACGGTCTGAGGAGAATGCCGATGCGAGGAGTTACCAGGGGATCTGGCAGACGCTCAACACTCAAGGAAGAGGCGACAGATACACAATCAGACAGTTATTGGTGCCTTCGGTATTGGAACTCTTCGTTTCTTGCTGAAAATGTGAACGGAGCGCCTATGGGAGTGTCCCGAATGTTGTGATGTCAATTTCCTAAATCAACATTCTACGAGTGCCGAAAATCCAGGGATATTTTTGATTTCGTTTTCAGAAATTTTCAACTTTACAAATTTCTGTCTGTTGCTGACATTTATACAGCCACCCCTCCACCCCCCCCCCGCCCCTCCCCAGGATCTGATATTCTGCAGATTAGAGGAATCTATAGGCTTCCTCGAGATTTTGTATTTTCATATATCACTAACAATTTAATTTTGCTGTGCATTATTTTTCACAGAGGATGACTATGGCAATGCAAAGATTAAACAGCATTATAAGTCAATGGTTAGGCACCAGAAAGGAAATTAACATTAAAACGTTGAGAGCATGCATAATCCCTGTAGCAACATACGAATGTGAGTCGTGGACTATCTCCCAGTACTTAAAAAAGAGAATAGTGGCTTTAGAGCTGAAATGCTATAGATAGATTCCTAGAATACCATTGACAAAGAAGTGAAGAAATACTGACATTTTAAAGGTAAGATACATAAACTGCACTGACGCTTAAATATTTTGATCACATCAAGTGCCATGGTGGATTTGAAAAAAAAAATAATAATAGCAGAAGACAAGGTAGCAGGAGGGAGGGGAAGTGGCCGACCAACACGAAGGTGGGCACAGGATACAAGTGACTCCTTGAATATGAAAGTGCATGACGCGGAAGAGCAGGTGAGATACCGACTTTCTTTCAGGCAGACCGTGATGAGGGCAAGGTTCTGCAAAGGACTTGCTACTTGACGATGACTTGTCATAAAATTATATATATATATATATATATATAATATATATATATATATATAGATATATATATATATATATATATATATATATATTTTTTATATATATAAAACAATACATACATACAAATAGTTAATTAAAAGAAAGTTAAAAAAAAACCAAAACGCTATAGAAAGATTCACAGAAGACTCTATACAAAGAATCTAAGAATATTGAATGTAGTAAGTAAGTAAATTGTACCCAACCAGGACATCACACAAGCGATAAACACCCGATGACATAAAGTGCCACCATGCGGATGAGGATCACCCGTGAAGAGGTCCCGGAAACCCCGCTCAACCGTTTATGCCATATTTATTGCCCGGCTATATTTAGGGCCCCTGGCAAAAGCCAGTGTGGGGCTTCCATTTCACAGTGGAGACAGCCTTTAATAATAATGAATCTATACAATCCACCCTGATGGTTTGTGTTATTAATAAAGTCTACAGTCTTCATGAACTTTATATATATATATATATATAGATATATATATATATATATATATATATATATATTATATATATATATATCTATATATAATATATAATTATACTCACACGCACACACACACATACACGAAGGTGCTTTGAATGAAGCCGTTTCCTGTACTGTAGCCTATCATGTATGATGTAGTGTGTTGAAAGGTGAAAGGTAATTGATGCTTATATGTGCAGGGTCACGGCGGTTTTCATATACCACGACTTTAACAGCTGCAGTCACCTCTGTGGTTACTACTCGGTTTGGCTGATCCTGCTGCGAACATTCTGTAACAAAAACCACGCCGTTTTGAAATTTTTTGTCCCACTTATACACATCACCACACTGGACCTTCGTTCGCCGATGAATTTCTACAAGTTTTACCCCCTTGAAAATATAACCGTCTGCCTCTGGTTCTTTCAGTACGTTATGAGACAGATTATCCTCCATGTCATGTTGTCAAACTGTCCAGCATATTTTTCTGCTCTCTAAATTGTCTCTTCCAACTTTCCCACCGTCACGGAGTACTCCAGTTTTCTCCTTTCCATAACATGACCAAAGAAGGTAGATTGTCACCTTCTGCAGTGTGCCATCACTTCTCTTCGTGAGTCAGTTTCTTTCAAGACATCTTCATTACTTTAAAAAAAAAAAAAACTATCTCGGACGGTCTCGCCATTCATCTGTACAATCACATCTCCGCCGCTTAGATAAACAAAAAAAAAGGCTGGCTTAGTTATCACATAACAATAAAAAATCCTCTGCTGTGTGGATTCGAGCTCAAAACTATATGGCCTGATTTTTTTCTTCTACGTTTCTAACCCAGTGACCAGCTAACCGGCATTTTACCATTGCCTGCTGCAGCTCCAAAACATCACAAACTCCTGTTTCTTCCTCAGGTTTGCGCTGGTCGAGAAGCTGGTGGTTGTCATCCGGAAGTCAACAACACCTGCATCTACTGTTGTTCGGATCCAACCGTATGCCAGCTTCAGAAGGACGACCTTTTCACATGTATGTTTATTGGATTGTGTGTTTGTTTATTCGACGGATCAACATTATGGCACACGAGTGTAACCCATAAGTGCTCCGTTCTACTTCTAATTCAAGCCTGAGTCTGAAGAATTTCAGCACAGTGCACGAACTCCGTTGCACTGGCAAGGATACTGAAATACTTTGGGTTCGTTTTCAACTCCATATTTTACATCGGCAGCGCCTCTTTTTCAATTTCCAATTGCCAAGAGATTTTTTTTACGTGCGTAACAGTACACACGGGCGCCCAAACTAACTACCTAGAGATCAGGGGAAATAACTAGAAGTCCCCGTGAAAAAATCTCAGCCGGGACCCGGAACCTCCAGCGGACAGCATATCTCAAGACCACTCAGCCCCACATGTATCAGAGTAACTAAAGATATATGTTGGGTTTTGTAAGACAAGCACAACCACCACGATATAGTATTGTTCAGTAAAATATCCTTTTTCATGCCGTCGGGTGATTGGAAAAACATATTTTATAGACCAACTGGAACTTGGTGGTTGATGTGGTCAGCATCACATCGGACGTCTTTACTTCCCTCCCAGGACTGCACCGGGTACCCATTCAAGTCTGGGTCAACCTGGGAGCGAGGACCATTAAAAAAAAAAAAAATTTAAAAATACGGTTTCGCCAGGAGCAGAATCCACATCAATGACTTTTATAACAACACTAATAATTATCCTGAACAGAGTAAAGTCTTGTTAACACGAACTTTACCAATGGATAAAAAAAGAGTTCGTGTTAAAAATTAATGCTAGCTGGAGATCAATAACTATGCATCTCATGGGACCAAAAATTGTGCTAATTTTAACCGAATGTTTTTCTTAAGCTCGTTTGTGTTAACCAAATTTTACCGCCAAATTGACGATTACTGCTTTTATTTCACTTTTGCGGTTAAGGCAGGAGGGTCTTTGAACCTGACGATTTACGGCCGCATGGCTAGTGCTGTCGCCACGACTGTGCAGGGAAGGAATTATTTGGCATCCGACAGAAAAAAATATCCAGCCTTACCGAGGATTCGAACCCAGGTCTCCCGCTTGATAGCCCATTATTCTTACCCTTCAGCCAGCCGTTCCTCAGGTTTTATTGTATGCTAACAATAAATGAGGGGTTAAAAAAAATGTAACAAATTAAAATAATAATAATAAAAAAATTACATATTAAAAATTTAACAAATTAATTAAAAAAATCAAATAATAAATTTAAAAAGAAATGTTATCGGTGCAATGTAATTTCAGTCACAATAACAAACATACAATAATGATGACAAAGATGTATCAGTTGCAGTAGTTGTAGTAATAGTAACAGTAGCAGCGGCAGCAGCAGTGGTAGCAGCAGCAGCAGTAATAGTAATCATTATAAAAATTACAAGAATTATCGTACTTATAGTAGTATTCATGTAGTAAAATCAACATTGATAATTAATAAACACAAACTTGAAGCGAGAACTTCTATACATAGGGTGGTAAAAAAAAAAAAAGGGGGGGGGGAGCAGATTGCTCTCTTACACATTTTAGGGAAGGGGCGCGGCAAAAAAAAAAAAAAATGTTGCTTAAAGACCTGAAGGTGATTAAGCATGTAGCTTCCAGTACCAGTTTCCCTTACATGACCTTAAAAAACCAACCCCGGCATCTTTTTGGTTGTAGTTTTTTTCGGGAAATTTTACGGTCAGTAGTTTGCTGCCGAGGAGCGGTTAGGACGCTTGGCTCACAAGCGGGAGACCTAGGTTCGAATCCTCAGTAAGGCTGGTGATTTTTTCTCACGGGGCAAATTTTTTTTTTAAGTAACCAGAAACCATGAGTTGTTAACTCTTTGGCTCGGTACTATGGATATCGCAACCCTTCGGCCTTGATTCCATTATTGGTACCGTTAATTTGGGAGAAATGTGGCTTTTCTGCCTACCCCCGGGAGTGGACCCGGTATAAAATCCTCACCTACACAGTCATGGCGATAACACTAGATATGCGGCCCTAAATTCTCAGTCTCAAAGACCCCCCCCCCCCCCCGCCTACACCGCAAAAGTGGCATAATAAACGGCAGTTACTGGCAGTTTACTACTGCTACTGAAGGCCTGCTCTCGATATCGCAGTCGAAACGAACTCAAGGCGAAAAAATCACTTGTAGCTATGATCGAACCCAGCACCCCGGCATTACGAGGCGCGTTCGCAATGCCCAAGCCTTAGACACCGAAAGTAGCAATAAGGCCATCAAAAAATAACCACTTGCAATCTTTCACATCCCCAAATCATTGAAATGAGACAGTTCCTTCTCTGTAACGGTTGCCTAATGTCGTTTGGTCATCGAGTGTAGAAAAGCCAGCCTGGGAAAACCCAAAAATAAAACTACCATCTCAGGCCATTCTAGAAAAGGTCTGCTTTGTAACTAAATGTTGACGTCATTAGGTGGTTTTCTTTTTTTAACTCTTTAGTCCTGCCCAATCACCCCCGTTCGTTTGGATTTTTTAACTACACATCCCCAGGGTCGGCTTATAAGGGTTAAAGGCTATCGATTATGTCACAGCACATAAAAGAAAGGTGAATAAAAGACGTCTATTTTTCTTTTCTTTCCCTTTTTTTTTTTCCCCGGGGAAAAAAAACCCCCCAAAAAAATTCCCCAAAACAATCCGGGGGGGGAAAAAAAAAACCCCCCCCCCCCCCCCGGGGGGGTTAAAACCCCCTTTTTTAAAAAGGGAAAAAAAAAACCCCAACCCAAAAACCCAAAAATTTTAAAAAAATTTCCCCCCCCGGGGGGGCCAATTTTTTTCCCCCAAAAAACCCCCCGGGGGAAAAAAAAAAAACCCCGGGAAAAAAAAATTTTTGGGCCTTTTTTCCCTTTTTTTTTTTCCCCCCGGGGGAAAAAAAGGGGGGGGGCCCAAAAAAAAAACCCCCCCCTTTGGGGGGGTTTTTTCCCGGGGCCCCCTTTTTTTTTTTTTGGGGGGTTTTTTTTTAAAAAAAGGGGGGGCAAAACCCCTTTTTTTTTCCCCTTTTTTTCCCCGGGGGGAAACCCCGGGGGAAAAAATTTTTAAAAAAAATTTTTTAAAAAAACCCCCCTTTTTTTTTTTTTTGGTTTTTTCCTTTTTTTTTTTTTTTAAAAAAAAAGGGGGGGAAAAAAAAAAGGGGGGGGGGGGGGGGGGGGGGGGGTTTTTTTTTTTTTTTTTTTTTAAAAAAAATTTTTTTTTTTTTTTTTTTTTTTTTTTTTTTTTTTTTTTTTTTTTTTTTTTTTTTTTTTTTTTTTTTTTTTTTTTTCCCCCCCCCCGGGGGGGGGGGGGGGGGGGGGGGGGGGTTTTTTTTTTTTTTTTTTTTTTTTTTTTTTCCCCCCCCCCCGGGGGGGGCCCCCCCTTTTTTTTTTTTTTTTTTTTTCTTTTTTTCTTTTTTCCCCCTTTTTTTTTTTCTTTTCTTTTTTTTTTTTTCTTTTTTCTTTTTTTTTTTTTTTTCTTTTTTTTTTTTTTCTTTTTTCTTTTTTTTTTTTTTTCCTTTTTTTTTTTCCTTTTTTTTTTTTCCCCCAAAATTTTTTTTTTTTTTTTTCCCCTTTTTCCCCCCTTTTTTTTTTTTTTTTTTTCCCTTTTTTTTTTTTCCCCCTTTTTTTTTTTTTTTTTTTCCCCTTTTTTTTTTTGTTTAAAAAAATTTTTTTTGGGGGGGTTTTTAAGGGGGCCCTTTTTTGGGGGGGCCCCCCCCAACCTTTTTTTTTTCCCCCCTTTTTTTCC